CAGAGTCTCCCACTGTCACCTGGGCTGGAGTGCAGTGGCGCCATCTCAGCTCACCGCAACCTCCACCTCCCAGGTTCAAACGATTCTCCTGCCTCAGCCTCCTGGGTAGCTGGGATTACAGGCATGCACCACCGTGCCCAGGTAATTTTTGTATTTTTAGTAGAGACGGGGTTTCACCATGTTGGCCAGGATGGTCTCGATCTCCTGACCTCGCGATCCGCCCACCTCGGCCTCCCAAAGTACTGGGATTACAGGCGTGAGCCACCGCGCCCGGCCTCTTTTGCTCTCTCTCTCTCCCCCACCACACGCTCACACACACGTACACATACATGCACACACACCCATGCACACATTCTAACACACATTCACATTACGCACACATGCACTCTTTTACACCCGTGCACACACACGCACATGGACACTCACGTACACACATGCAGACATACATGTAGTCACACACATGCACACACACACATACACATGCACACACACCCAAGCACACACTAACACATACATTCACATCATGCACACACATGCACTCTCTTACACACATGCACACACACAGGTGGACACTCACACATGCACTCTCACACATGTGCACACACATACATGTAGTCCCACACACACTCTCTTTCTTTCAGTCCCACGGATCTTGGATCCAGGACATGAGGTCCCCCGCACACGCATGCACCGTCTGGAGCTGGGGCCCCTCCAGCCTCTCCGAGTGAACCGAGGCAGGCAGCAGCCCCACCGTCCAGGCCACCCCACACCCCTCACCCCCACAGCTTCTCAGAAGCAGAGGAGAACTCAGGGCAGAGAAGGGACTCCCCCTTGCCACTTCTCTTGCAGCATGAATCCAATCATTTCTCTCTGGCATCCCCTCCCTCCCTGCCAGGATCTGCAGCTAGCCTGGGCCCAGCTGGGGCAGTAAGTGATTTTCTTTTCTTTCTTTTTTTTGAGACGGAGTCTTGCTCTGTCACCAGTGCTGGAGTGCAGTGGCGCCATCTCAGCTCACTGCAATCTCCACCTCTCAGGTTCAAGCGATTCTCCTGCCTCAGCCTCCCGTGTAGCTGGGATTACAGGTGCCCACAACCACGCCCAGCTAATTTTTTGTATTTTTAGTAGAGATGGGGTTTCACTATGTTGGCCAGGCTGGTCTCAAACTCCTAACCTCATGATCCACCCACCTCGGCCTCCCAAAGTGCTGGAATTACAGGCATGAGCCACCGCACCCAATCAGTAACTGATTTTCTGACCACCGCCTGCACAGGGTCCCTTCATCCTCCTGGGCCCCAGGCCTCGCTGGGCTGAGCAGCCCCTCCTTCCCGATCCCCAGGCTTTGCAAACATCTCCGGGGCACCCATGGGGAAGTTCTCAGTACCCTCGTGTCTACTGGGACTGATCTTCGCCCGGGCCACACAGGGAAGCCCAGAGCCGGCCTCCACCTGCCCCAGGGCAGACAAAGGAGGGGTTAGAAATGATTTCAGTCACATACATCCCATGGCTGGAACAGCGACAGCAACAACCCGGTGTTCACTGTGGCATTTTCGGTGAACCTCAGCCGGGTGCAGTGACTCACTCCTGTAATCCTGGAATTTTGAGAGGCCAAGGCCGGCGGATCACAAGGTCAAGAGATCGAGACCATGCTGGCCAACATGGTGAAACACTGTCTCTACTAAAAATACAAAAAAAAAAAAACAAAAAACTGGGCATGGTGGCCTATGCCTGTAGTCCCAGCTACTTGGGAAGCTGAGGCAGGAGAATCGCTTGAACCTTGGAGGCAGAGGTTGCAGTGAGCTGAGATCCAGCCTGGCGACAGAGTGAGACTCCATCTCCACCAAAGAAAAACAAAACAAGACAAAACCAAAAAGAACGTGCACCTCTGTCACCTCGGGGTGTGGTGGGAGCCCTCAGCCATGTTTCAGGATCACAGGCAGCCTCAGAACTCCTTTCTGGAAGCCTTGAAAGGTTCATTTGTTAATTTGACAAATGTATATGAATGTATAACAGCCCATTGCAGCCTGGGACTCCTGGGCTCAAGCGATCCTCCCAGTTCAGCCTCCTGAGTAGCTGGGAGTACAGGTGCACATCACCATGCCTGGCTAATTTTTAAATCTTTTTGTAGAGCTGGGATCCTGCTGTGTTGCCCAGGCTGGTCTTAAACCCCTGGCCTCAAGCAATCTTCCCACCTTAGCCTCCTAAAGTGCTGAGATTTTAGGAGTGAGCCACCTCACCCAGCCTAATTTGCCAAATATTTATTGAGGGCCTACTGTGTCCCAGGCTGTGTTCTAGGAGCTGTGGGCACGGACTGAATATGGAAGACAAAACCTCCACCCCAAGGAGCTAAGAGTCCAGCGAGGGGGGCACACGGTAAAAACATCACAGGGTGAGATGTGCAGAGTGCTAGATGGTGGCAGGTGGAAAGTGGAGCAGACGGTCAGACGCAGTGGCTCACGCCTCTAATCCCAGCACTTTGGGAGGCTGAGGCGGGCGGATCACTTGAGGTCAGGAGTTCAAGACCAGCCTGGCCAACATGGTGAAACCCCATCTCTACTAAAAATACAAAAATTAGCCGGGCATGGTGGTGCGCACCTATAGTCCCAGCTACTTGGGAGGCTGAGGCCTTGGAATCGCTTGTGTTTGGGAGGCGGAGGTTGCAGTGAGCCGAGATCATGCTGTTGCATTCCAGCCTGGGTGACAGAGAAAGATTCTGTGTCCAAAATAAAAGAAAGAAAGAAGAGAGGAAAGAAAGAAAGAGAGAAAGAGAAGAAAGGAAGGGAGGGAGGGAGGGAGGGAAGAAGGGGAAGGAAGGAAGGGAGGGAGGGAGGAAGGGAGGGAGGGAGGGAGGCAGGCAGGCAAAGACAGAAAGTGGAGAAGATGAGGCCAGAGGCCTGCAAGTCCTCTCTGACACTAATAGACACTTGTCACTTGGTTCCCCTGAAGTTATCACCTCCGGCTAAATAGCTTCATCCCTTTGAACTTGAAGTCTCATGATACAGAAGCTGGGCCCATTTTACAAGAGGAATTTAAGGGCCTTAACATATTGTGTTCTGCTCGAGTCCACAAAATGTCCTTCAGATGGGGCAAAACTAGAATACCGGCTTTGACCTTCATCTTGAGGCTGTCCATGAAGGCTGACTGTTACGGCCCAGGGCTTGGCTCTTGCACTTTCTGGGAGATGCTGAAAGATGAGGACCGTCAGATTGGCCTCCCATGGCCACTGTGCGGTGTCTGCCCGGAGCAGGGCAGCCAGGCATGCTCTGAGTAAACGGCAACCCTCATCATTAGCATTCATGCTAGGAAGAGTCTTCAACTTCTTGAAGTAGCTGGGGTTGAAAGAAAATGATACCATCATTTAGAACAGAAATGGAAAATGAATGGATTTGCCAGCACATTGCTGAGAACATTTTTGGATGGGGAGCTAACTTTAAAACTTAAGATAGGCCGGGTACAGTGGCTTGTACCTGCAATTCCAGCATTTGGGGAGGCTGAGGTGGGAGGATCACTTGAAGCCAGGAGTTTGAGACCAGCCTGGGCAAACAGAGTGAGACCCTGTTTGTACAAAATAGAAAAAATAATAGCCAGGTGTGGTAGCGCCCACCTGTAGTCCCAACTACTTGGGAGGCTGAGGTGGGAGGATGGGTTGAGCCCAGGAGGTTGAGGCTGCAGTGAGCTATGATTGCACCACTGCACTCCAGCCTGGACCACACAGTGAGATCGTGTCTCTAAGGGGAAAAAAATCCTTGTGAGATTTCACACGATAATTCCGGGGGCCTCCTGTTTCCCATTCTGCAGCTCGTACTGAAATTTGCCTTGCAGTGCATGGAAAGCAGGATTTCAGATTTCATGTGTGTGTGTGTGCATTTATGCATGTGTGTGTGCATGCATGTGTGTGTGCATGTGTGCGTGTGCTTGCACATACATGTGCATGTGCGCATGTATGTGTGCGTGTGCATGTGTACATGTGATTGCGTGCATGTACATGTGTGTGTGTGTGTGTGTGCATGTGTTTCCCTAGAAAACTTAGAAAAGCTTACCACTCTCTGCTGCTGAAGCTATTCACTTTTAACTCTTTCATTTCTTCACAATCCCTAAAGCTGCTTCACCCATCTCAGTGACCTGCCCGCCCCTGAGTTTGCAACCCTGATCAAGTCTGAGTCCCTCAGGTTCCAGAAGAATACACAGAAGCCCAGAGTCAGGAATACTTTGCGCAAAGTCACTCAGGGTTGTCTCCATCTCATGGGTCAGGCATGGTGGGAGGGGGCAGGTAGGACTTCTTCCCATCAGCAAATCCTTTTCACCTGCAGCAAAATCTCACGCCATTTTCTCTTCCTGGGTTTCTCCACCCAGTCAAGCCGGCTCCCCCTTTCAACGTGACCGTGACCTTCTCAGGACAGTATAATATCTCCTGGCGCTCGGATTATGAAGACCCTGACTTCTTCATGCTGAAGGGCAAGCTTCAGTATGAGCTGCAGTACAGGAACCGGGGAGACCCCTGGGCTGTGGTGAGGAATGTGGGGATCGGGGCAGATAAGTGGGAGAAGGGCAGGGGAGAGAAGGGAGCGCAAGGGCGACTGTGTGGGAGAGACGGGTGAGCATTGTCATTCATGGCCAAGAACAGAGACCAAGGGTGCGAGCACCCCCTTATAGCGGTCCCTCTTCCCTCCCCTCACTTCTCCCCAGGGTAGGAGACCCCTGAATAATCTGTCTTCTCTGTGCCTGTCCCCTCCACTGTCAGCATGCCAAAGAGACTGTCCCTTCCCCAGGCTCCACCCCAGGTCTAGTGTAGTCACAATAGAAGAAATTTCAGGCAGGTGGCAATCTGGAAGCTTCCCACTTGCTTAAAATGGCCATAGTTGGAGAGGTTCAGAAGTATCAGTGATTAAGAAGGTCCAGCCTGGTGCGGTGACTCATGCCTGTAATCCTAGCATTTTGGGAGGCCAAGGCGGGTGGATTTCTTGAGGTCAGGAGTTCAAGACCGGCCTGGACAACATGGTGAAACTCTGTTTCTACTAAAAGTGCAAAAAGTAGCCAGGTGTGGTGATATGCACCTGTAATCCCAGCTACTCTGGAGGCTTAGGCAGGAGAATTGCTTGAATCCGGGAGGCAGATGTTGCAGTGAGCTGGGATTGTGCCACTGCACTCTAGCCTGGGCAACAGAGCAAGACTCAATCTCAAAAAAGAAAAAAAAAGTCCGGTGTTAGAGGTCTCACTGCTTCAAACACGAAGGCTTTGAGAGGTGTCCTTCCAGCCCACTATTTAGAACGGTCACAAGTGAGACCCTGTCTCTAAAAACTACAAATAGTAATAATGATAGAACAGTCACAGCTGAAGAGTTCTAGAATTGCCCATCCTTTAGAATAGCCCCAGCTGAAGATGTCCATGAGTACCATACTTTAGAAAGTTCCCAGTGGAAGATTTCCAGAGGTATCTATTGCTAAGATGTCTGTAGATAAAGACTTCTAGAAATGCCCACTGTTGGGAATGTCAGTATGTCAACTCTTGGAATTTTCAACAGTTGAAGACACTCTCAATTGAGTTATTGAGACTTAAACCAATGCATCAGTTTAGAATGTCTTCAACTGTTGAAGAATTCCAAAAGTATGCATTGCCTGGGATACTGCCAGACCATTACCATTCCTGAGATATGCCCAGTACTGCAGGGAGAGTTCACTGCCAGGACCGTGAATGGGTGAATTGGAATCAAAGAGAAATCAAACAGAACATCCTATCACAGGCAAGGGCCAGGCAGTGCTGGTGAGTCTGTGCTGCCCATGCCTGAGTCTGCCTACTCAGGCATAAGCCTGATTCTTGTGGGAAGAAAAGAGACGCGCAGCCCCTCCGATGGAAGCTGGGAAAGAAGTGGCTCTGCTGGAGGCAGGGACTGACCTGGTTGCACCCTGACCTGGTGCATCCTTTCCTTGTACTGGCAGAGTCCAAGGAGAAAGCTGATCTCAGTGGACTCAAGAAGCGTCTCCCCCCTCCCCTTGGAGTTCCGCAAAGACTCGAGCTATGAGCTGCAGGTGCGAGCAGAGCCCATGCCTGGCTCCTCCTACCAGGGGACCTGAAGCGAGTGGAGTGACCCGGTCATCTTTCAGACCCAGTCAGAGGGTAGGTGTGAAGCTGGGATGGACACCCCACTCCTGGTACCAAATCTTGTCCTGGTCTAGCCACCGTAAGCCCTGAGCTGTCTGGCACAGCTGGGAGGTATTCAGTTGTTCATCCCCAGATGTAGCCCTTCAGTGCCATTTCTAGAGCCCCTGCTGGCCAGGCCCTGTGCTGGATGCCAGCTGCTGCTTCTTCTGTTAGGCATTTGATACCCCTAACTCTGAAGTGGGAACAGCCCCATTTTTCAGATGAGATAACTGAGGCTCAGAGAAATGAAGTTACTTGCCTGGGATGAGGAATGAGAACAAGATTTGAACCACCTCACTTCAAGACACTAGCAGTAGCAGCCTCTCCCACCCCTTTCCACTCTACCCCAGACCCATTTCCCACCACGCCTACCGCACGTGGCCTCTGGTAGAGTTGGTGCCCTTTAACCCTTTGCTTCCCTTCCAGAATTAAAGGAAGGCTGGAACCCTCACCTGCTGCTTCTCCTCCTGCTTGTCATAGTCTTCATTCCTGCCTTCTGGGGACTGAAGACCCACCCAGCATGGAGGTGAGGCCATGAGGAAGGCAGGGAGGTGGTCGGGCTGGGCCGCTGCCCCTCTATGGCACACCCAGGGTTGGAGAACATGCCTGTCATCACGATCACAATGACGGCGATGGGATAATAACCTGCTCACAGCCACTGCGTGGACACCGTGCAGGGCACTCACTTCACTCCCATGGCAGCCCCATGAGCTTGAGACACTGCAGTTGCCCCTGTTTTACAAATGGGGAAGCTGAGGCATGGAGAGGTCAAGGAATTTGCCCAAAGTCACACAGCTCCGAGGTGGAGAAATTGGGATTGAAACTCTGGGCCCTTAAACAGGGACCTCAGCTGTGATCTTGTCCAGTAGATTCTAAGCTTTGAGGCCCGCGGGGCATCAGGGGCCACCAGGTGGTGGTGAAGAGGTGGGTGCAATACTACACACCTCTGAGATGGCGTCTCTGTGCACTCCTGGGTGCAGATAAAGAAGTTGAGGCTCAGAAGGGGCAGCATTTGCCCAACGCAGCACAGGCAGCCAAGAACATAACCTCGATACCCCTCCAGGAGCCTGCAAGGGAGACTCGCTGCTCCCAGATGGAGGAACCAAGCCCTGGGGAAGGAGGGAGGCGCCTGGGCTGTGTCTTGTGATAGTCAGAAGCTCCTGTAGGATAAATCAGGGGAGTGTCCGAATGGGAAGCCAGGCTGGCCTCTGGTGAGTCAGGGCCTCACCCTTTCTGCCCCTCAGGCTGTGGAAGAAGACATGGGTCGTCCCCAGCCCCGAGAATTTTTTCCTGCCTCTCTACAAGTGCTACGGAGGAGACTTCAAGGTGAGCAACCCACCCTGTGATGAGTCCCTCTGAGCCCCTCCTCCTCTTCAGGAGCCCCACCCCCCCTCATCCCAGGCCCCCCAGTCTCACCCCACAGGCCTAGAGCATCCAGATCTCAGTCAAGCCACAAGCCAGGCCTTAGTTTCCCCATGTACGAAGTGCAGACAGTTATTCTTGTGGTGGAGAATTGGCAGGAGAATTAAACAAGATTTGACCAGATATCCTTCAACTGTTGAAGAATTCCAAAAGTATGCATTGCCTGGGATCCTGCCAGACCATTGCCACTCCTGAGATATGCCCAGTCCTGCAGGGAGAGTTCACTGCCAGGACCGTGAATGGGTGAATTGGTACGGTGGCTCACGTCTGCAGTCCCAGCACTTTGGGAGGCCAAAGCGAGATGGTGCATGCCTGTAGTCCCAGCTACTTGGGAGGCTGAGGCAGGAGGATCGTTCCTAGGCTGCAGTGAGCTACGATCACACCACTGCACTCCAGCCTGGGCAACAGACAGAGACGCTGTCTAAAAAAAATCAAATCAAAAAGAAACATTAAGCAAGAGCATGCAGCATTGCCCAGCGCAAGGAGCCAGACTGGGAGAGGGAGTGAGGCTGGTGGTCTCAAGTCACAGATTGCCACCCCCCCACACTGGCCCAGTCCTTTCTCAGGTGCCCTTAATCTGGGTTGGAGAGGGAGTGGGTTCTGGGAAGGGTCTGGCCTCCCGGAGCAAAACACACCAATCTTTGCCAAGCCTCCACCTCACCACCGCCCACCAGCACCCACAGGATTGTCTGTGCCCATTTACAGCTGTGTCACCCACCCTGCAGCAGTGGGAGGGGCTGCTGCAGAGAGGATGTGGTGACAGAGGTGGGAGGGGCAGTCCCACCTGCTGCAGCCGAGCCTGAAAGTCAGACAATACAGACCTAGAGCACTGACTGGGCTCCTCCTGCCTCACTCATTCTCATATAGCAGCCCCTGTGGAGTGGGTGTTCCACTGCCCCCCGGGCACCCACGAGGAGGCCAAGGCTCAGAACAGGCAGGGAGGAACCTGAACTCCAACTCACATAAAACCCACCATTTCCTCTTCCCTAAAGCTCAAATATCACATTTATTTTGGGTTGATTTTTACCAAGACTCATATAGCACTTGCTATATACCAGGGAGTCCACTAGGAGCATCACATACAGCGACTCACTTAGCCCTCACGACGACCCTATGGGTGGGTGCTATAATTAGGTCCATTTTCCAGATGAGGAAACTGAGGCACCGAGAGGGTAATTGGCTTAAGGGCACACAGCTGAGAAGTGACTTCAAATCAGTGGCGGTGGCCACATGACGGTTGAGATGAGTTTTTGAAGAAGATGAGCTCAAAACAGGAAGATTCCCATTCTCGGGGATTGTCCTTGCCAATTGCATGGGGATTCTGGTGTCATGAGTGGGAGTCCTGGCAGGGGAGGGAAGGAGGGTCCTTCAAGTTTAAGGGCCACTGCTTCAGCCAGCGTCACCTACATCCTTTATCCTCAACGTGTACAAAGGCCTTTCCAAGTGGCTTTTCACTGATTCACTCCACTCATTAGTTAATAAACATTTATTGAGCACCTACTGTGTGCTAGGCACTGGGGATACAGCCATGGACGGAAGAGACAAGACTTGTGCCTGGGGCCAAGTGTCTGTCCGGTGGGGACACATAAACCAGGAGAGCGCTAGGTTTCAAGAAACATCAAGGAGGAGGGAAAGGAGGAGATGGCTCAGGTGTCACTCAGACCTTAGGCCCTCCTGCCCTCATGTCTCCTTGACTCAGGACTCTTAGCTCCTGCTGGGGCTATGGGACCACCAGTTGTCTGAATGGTCAGGCTACTAAGGGTAGCAGCTCCCTTCTACAAGTGGGGAAACTGAGGCCCAGAGTAGGAGGGGGACACCAGTGGGGACCCCCACTATGGTGGGAGCACATCATGGTCCCGATTCCTCCCTCCCTCCCTCTCTCTCTCCCAACCCTCTCTGAGTGTCTTTGTCTGTTTTCATGTCTCTTTCTCTCTTGATGTCTCTTTGTCTCTGTGTCTATGTCTTTCTGCCAGTTTAAACCCTCACCTTGGCTGGGGCGCAGTGGCTCACCCCTGTAATCCCAGCGATTTGGGAGGCCAAGGCGGGTGGATCACCTGAGGTCAGGAGTTCAAGACCAGTCTGGCCAATATGGTGAAACCCCGTCTTTACTAAAAATACAAAAATTAGCTGGGTGTGGTGATGCATGCCTATTAGTACCAGCTACTTGGGAGGCTGAGGCAGGAGAATCACTTGAACCTGGGAGGCAGAGGTTGCGGTGAGCCGAGATGGCGCCACTGCACTCCAGCCTGGACAACAGAGTCAGACTGTCTCAAAAGAAGAAAAGTAAAAAAATAAGAAAACCCTCGCTTTACCCTCGTCCTGTGCTATGACTCTCTCTTTTTCTCTCACACAGAAATGGGTGGGTGCACCCCTCACCGCCTCCATCCTGGAGCTGGGACCCTGGAGCCCAGAGGTACCCTCAGCCCTGGAGGTGTACAGTTGCCACCTACCACAGAGTCTGGCCAAGAGGCTGCAGCTCACAGAGCTGCGAGAACCGGCAGAGCTGGTGGAGTCTGACAGCGCGCCCAAGCCCAGCTCCTGGGCCACGGTCCAGAACTCCGGGGGCTCAGCTTACAGCGAGGAGGGGGACCGGCCGTACGGCCTGCTGTCCATTGACACAGTGACTGTGGTAGATGCAGAGGGGCTGTGCACCGGGCCTTGCAGCTGTGAGGATGACGGCTACCCAGCCCTGGATCTGGACGCTGGCCTTGAGCCCAGCCCAGGCCTAGAGGACCCACTCTTGAATGCGGGCACCACAGTCCTCTCCTGTGGCTGTGTCTCGGCTGGCAGTCCTGGGCTAGGAGGGCCCTTGGGAAGCCTCCTGGACAGACTAAAGCCATCCCTTGCAGATGGGGAGGACTGGGCTGGGGGACTGCCCTGGGGTGGCCGGTCACCCGGAGGGGCCTTAGAGAGTGAGGCGGGCTCGCCCCCGGCCGGCCTGGATATGGACACGTTTGACAGTGGCTTCGCGGGCTCTGACTGCAGCAGCCCTGTGGAGTGTGACTTCACCAGTCCTGGGGACGAAGGACCCCCTCGGAGCTACCTCCGCCAGTGGGTGGTCATTCCCTCGACACTCTCGAGCCCTGGACCCCAGGCCAGCTAGTGAGGCTGACTAGCTGTCCAGAGCTGGCCACTGGCTACCGGGTCCTGAGCCAGAGACAAGGCCACCTGGGCTGTGATTGAAGACACCTGCAGCCTTTGGGCTCCCAGATGAGCCATTGAGCCTGATGTTTACAGTGTCTGTGTGTGTGTGTGTGCATGTGTGCCTGTGTGTGCATTTGTAGGTGCATATGTGTGCATGTCTGCAGGTGCATATGTGTGCATGCCTGTAGGTGCATGTATGTGCATATGTGCGTGTGTATGTGCACATGTGTGTGCATGTATGTGTGTGCATGTGTGTGCATGTGTGTAGGTGCATGTGTGTGTGCATGTGTGTGTGCATGTGTGTGTTGGTGCATGTATATGTGCATGTGTGTGCATGTGTGCATGTGTGTGTGCGTGTGTGTGTGCATGTATATGTGCATGTGTGTGCATGTGTGGGTGCATGTGTGTGCATGCATGTGTATGTGCATGTGTGTATGTGCATGTGTGTGCGTGTGTATTGGTGCATGTGTGTGTGTGTGTTTCAGGTGCGGGCACAGTGACGTGTCCACGTGTGTGTGTGACTGCACGTGCCTGTGTACCTGGAGAATGCTCATGGTACTCTATGCATTCAGGGCCCAGGGAGCTCACCCGAGTGTACCAGGGTGCACAGCAAACGTGTCTGTGGGCAACAGATGACAATAGCCTTAGTCCTTGCTGGGGTCTTGTGTTACAAACCAGTCCCCTCCAGGGCCTTGTGGGATCAGGGCATTGCTTGAGGCAGAGGCCAAGCCCAGCCCTCCAGCATCTGCCTCCAGGAGCGGCAAGAAGTTCATATTGTTCCTTGTCACCAGCCAGCAGGAAGGGAAAGGGGTTGCAGTGACCCCACGGTGACCTCACCCCAGGTTGGGAAGATTCTGGGCGACCCATGGAGGAAAGTCTGAATCTCGACTCTGATACCTTCTGGCTGTGCTACCTGAGCCAAGTTACCTCCCCTCTCTGGGCTAGAGGTTCTTTGTCCGGACAGTGCGGAAGGCATGCCCCACCTCGGGGAAACTGGTGCTGTCACCTGTGTCTAGTACGCAGCCCAGAGCAGACCCTCAGTATACGTCAGCTTCCTTCCTTCTGAGGCCACAGCGGAGGCTTGCACAGGAGGTAGGCGGGGGTGAGAACACCCATCATCCCCGACAGCCTGGGCGCCCGTGGGGCTGTCCCACCTGCAGAGGGCCACTTGGGGGGGGTTTCCAGGCTTAAAACCAGTCTGTCTCGTCTCTTGGAAACAGCTCCCCAGCAACCAAGATTTCTTTTTCTGACTTCTGCTACTAAGTTTTTAAAAATTCCGTTTGTGCACCCAAGAGATATTTATTAAACATCAATTACGTGGCAGGCCAAGGCTCATGGGATCCCCCTCCCCCGCTGTGGCACTCATGAGGGAGGGTGCGGGCCGAAACCAGGCAGTGCCGTCCAGCCGCACATCCTGCTGTACCCCCCCACCCTGCCCCAATTCAGCAATTCAATCCAGCGTCTTACTTGTTCATCCTGGAGAATTAGAGGGAGGTCAAGTTGTGTGTCAATGATTTGTCAGAGAACCTGTTGAAATGTGAATTAAGAAGCTAAGAAAATACTTCTTAGCAACATTTTGTTTTACTTTTGAGACAGAGTCTTAGTCTGTCGCCCAGGCTGGAGTGCAGTGATGTGATCTCGGCTCACTGCAGCCTTTGCCTCCTGGGTTCAAGCTATTCTCCTGCCTCAGCCTCCCGAGTAGCTGGAATTACAGGCATGCACCACCACGCCTGGCTAATTTTTGTATTTTTAGTAGAGACGGGGCTTCCCCATGTTGGCTAGGCTGGTCTCGAACTCCTGACCTCAAATGATCTGCCTGCCTCGGCCTCCCAAAGTGCTGGGATTGCAGGCGTGAGCCACCATGCCCAGCCCCTTAGCAACATTCTCAGGGCACCTCACTGAATATCAGTTTAGTATGAAAGCTAGATGTAGATGCTAGGTATTGCATAAAACTCATCTCTCTCTCCTCTCTTTCTCTCTCTTTCTCCACACACACACACACACACACACACACACACACACACACACATTTTTAAAGAAAATATGTTGTTTTCCCCCCAAAGGGTGCCCATCCTAGAAGTGGCTTGGGTTTTTGAAGACCAAGCAAGATTACAGCAGCAGAGAGTGTGATTCAGCTCCAGAGCTGAGAGATGGAGACATAGTCCTGGTAATAGCTCTTGAGATCCTGGATCCAGCCATGCCTGAAACCACGTTTCTACCAGACCATTTAGATATGAGAATGGAAGTCATTATGATGTTCACCAAATATTTCCACCCCCTGCACCTGCACCCTGGGGAGTCTTGGGAACCTGGAGGAGGACCCCTGCCCTGGCCCAGTCCTGCTGTCCTCCCCAAAGGCCAGACTGCAAGCGGCAGGGCCGTGGTGGAGGAGCCAGCTCTGGCTTTTGGAGCAGGGTTGGGTTGGAAGTCAGCAGAAGTCAGTCCTGTTGAAGGCTCCTTTGTGACTCATCTGTGAAGTGGGGTAGTTGGGAGAGGTCGCTGAGATAATGCATGAGAGTCCTTGGTGCCTCGCAGGAGGCTGGAAGGTTCTAGAATGCTGATGGCTATAAGAGTGTGACTGTGAGCCTGGGATCGGGGAGTGTGAGGCTCGGGTGGGAGCGAGAGAGTGGAAGCACAGCTTCTGCATGGGGGAGCAGCCCTCACCACCCCCACACCCACACCTGCACCCTAGGGAGTCTTGGGTCCAGATGTGCTGTGGTTTTCACATCCTCTTGGGGGCATCAGGTTCCAGGAGCCACCTGTGGGTGCCACCTGAGCCACAGGCTCTCAGGACACCAGCACAGCTCTCCTGCACCCAGAGCTCGCCGGGTGAGGGAGGGGAACACGGATGGCTGGGGAGGGCCTGACTGAGGCCAGATGGGGGGTGCTCCGGACTGGAGCAGACGAGGCTCCTTAGAATCCCACCTTTGAAGGGAACTCAGCTCATAAACATGGGGGAGCGAAGTTGGAGGCTGGGCGCAGTGGCTCATGCCTGTGATCCCTGCACTTTGGGAGGCTGAAGCAGGTGGATCACTTGAGGCCAGGAGTTCAAGGCCAGCTTGGGAAACATAGCAAAACCCCATCTCTACAAAAATTATTTTTAAAAAAATTATCCAGGCACTGTGGTGCTTGCCTGTAGTCCCAGCTACTCGGGAGGCTAAGGTGGGAGGAGCGCCTGAGCCCAGAAGCCTGAGGCTGCAGTGAGCTGTGACTGTACCACTGCACTCCAGCACGGGTCACAGATCAAGGCCCTGTCTCTTAAAAAAAAACAAGCTGGAGACAAGAGCTGGCTCACCTAGAAGGACGGATTAGTAGGTGGGAGGGTGGACGGAGGATGGATGGATGTGTGGATGGATAGAAGGATCGTATTAGGTTGGTGCAAACGTCTTTGCTATTACTCTTAATGGCTTTGATAACATGTTTGAAGGAAGAACGTTTGGTTGGATAGAGATAAACAGATACCGGAGACAAAGGTGAAGAGAAAACACAAGTCTACAGGCCAGCAACTCTATTTTGTTCACTACCTTTAGTCCCAGCCTGGCACATAGTAGGCACTCAATAAAGCCTGATTTGTAGCATTTGCTTATTTCCATGGTATAATTTCAAGTGCCTGATTTCAGTCTAAACAGAGTTGGGAAGAGATATGCACAATCTACTCTCTTGGCTGGTGTGAGCGAGTCCCAGCTCACTTACTGATGGTAACCCAGACAGCACATCAAGAGGGCCAGGAGGCTTCAGGGAGGAGGTGGTGTTGGTTGGACTTTGAAAAATGAATAGGAGGCTGGGAGCAGTGGCTCATGACTGTAATCCTAGCACTTTGGGAGGCTGAGGTGGACGGACCATTTGAGGTCAGGAGTTCGAGACCAGCCTGGGCAACATGGTAAAACCCAGTCTCTACTAAAAATACAAAAATTAGCTGGGTGTGGTGGCACGCGCCTGTAATCCCAGCTGCTTGGAAGGATGAGGCAGGAGAATCCAGGGCGGAGGTGCAGCAAGCAGATGGCACCACTGCACTCCATCCTGGGCGACAGAGCAAGACTCTGTCTCAAAAATAAAAATAAAAAAAGGAAAAATGAATAGGAGTTGTCAGATGTACCAGTTATTTGGGGCAGAGGGAGGAGCTTGGACAAAGGCCTGGAAGTATGACTAAGGGTCAGAAGCAAGTGGGACTGGCGGCTCCTTGCCTTCCAAAGACCAGGCCAGAATCACTAAGGACCCTCACTTAAGAGGAAGGGGGACCCATCGCAACACTTTCCCAGCTGTGTTGGGAAACACTCCTCACCTTGCCGTCTGCAAGCGCTGAGGCAGACTCATCCATTTGACAGATGAAATGAAGGCACAGCACAGGCTGATGATCTGCCTGAGGTCACACACTGAATGAGTGGTCGGAGTCGGAACCAGAACTCTGGGCTCCTGAGGCCAATTTCAGTTCTTTTTCACCATGCTCTGCTGGGAAGCATGTAGATCCAGAGGTTAGGAAGGTTTAGCAGACCCCTGTGGGTGCTGCTGCATCTGCCGGTGCTGTAGCCTGGGAATATGGCTGACCCCCGCTCTGGGAGTGGCTACGTGACCCAGGCCTGGCCAATAGGACATTCCTTCCCCCTGGCAACAGTACAGTTTAGGGGCAGACATACCCTAGCTGGTTCATACTCTTTCTGCTGGGATTACTGAGCTGTAAAGAGGGGACTGGAGTGGTAGCAAGAAACACACAAGAAAGCAGAGCTGAGAGATGGAGACATAGTCCTGGTAATAGCTCTTGAGCTCCTGGATCCAGCCGTGCCTGAAACCACATTTCTCCTGGACCATTTAGATACATGAGTATAGAAGTCATTATGCTGTTCACCAAATATTTCCAGCTTTTGGCCTTCTGGGCACATGGCAGGATTGTGCCTCCTGACCCTCTGTAGCCAGATGGGGCCACGTGACTGGAAGGGACTAGCCAGTTGTGAGCAGAAGTGGTAAGTCTCACTTTTGGGCAAAGCATTTTTCAGATGGCTGCCACGCCCCCTAGAGTGTTTTCCTGTCTGTCACAGAGACAGATGATGATAGTGACTGTTCCATCTGCCTGAATGAGGAGATACAGACTGAAATTTCAGTTCACTTGTGACAGACATGTATTGTGAGCAAGAAATCAATCCTTTGTTGTTTTAAGCTGCTGCAATGGTGCTGTTTGTTACCACAGCATAACCCCACCTATCCTGACTGAAACAATGGGCTGATATATTTCCTTTTCTTGCTTAAGCTGGTTTGAGGTGGGTTTCTCTCCCTTGCAGCAGAAAGTGTTCTAGCATTATTCTGATGTTATCCTCACAGTAAGGACTCTCCTTCCATCCTAAGGATTAGTCCTTGTGTCATTATAAAGAAATACCAGGCAGGGCTGGGATTACAGGGATCACGCCTGTAATCCTAGCACTTCAGGAGGCCAAGGTGGGCGGATCACTTGAGGCCAGGAGTTCAAGACCAGCCTGGCCAACCTGGCAAAACCCCGTCTCTACTAAAAATACAGAAGTCAGTCAGGCATGGTGGTGCATGCCTGTAATCCCAGCTACTCAGGAGGCTAAGACACGAGGATCACTTGAACCCAGGAGGCAGAGGTTGCAGTAAGCTGAGATGGCGCCACTGTGCCCCAGCCTGAGTGACAGAGTGAGATCCTGTCTCAAAAAAATAAAAAGAAAAAAAGAGAAATACCAGGGACTAGGTGATTTACACAGAGGCTCAATTGGCTCACAGTTCTGTAGGCTGTGCAGGAAGCTTCCAATCACAGCGGAAGGTGAGGGGGAGCCAGCATGCCATGCTGCAAACGCAGGAGGAAGAGTAAAGTGGGAGATCCAGACTCTTTTAAACAACCAGATCAGCCAGACTGTTGGCTCACACCTGTAATCCCAGCACTTTGTGCGGCCGAGGTGGGCAGATCACCTGAGGTCAGGAGTTTGAGATCAGTCTGACCAATATGGTGAAACCCTGCCTCTACTAAAAAAAAAAACCAAAAACAAAAATTAGCCGGATGTGGTGATGTGTGCCTATAGTCCCAGCTACTTGGGAGGCTGAGACAGGAGAAGTGCTTGAACCTAGGGGGTTGCAGTGAGCCGAGATCGTGCCACTGCACACCAGCCTGGGCCACAGAACCAGACTCCATCAAAAAACAAACAAACGCCCAGATCTCCCATGAACTGACACAGTGAGAACTCACTCATCACCAAGGGGATGGGGCTAAGTTGTTCATGAGGGATATGCCCCCAGTTGTCACCCCCACCCAGGCCTCACCTCCAACATTGAGAATCATAGTTCAACATGCGATTTGGAGAAGACAGACATCCAAACCGTGTCACTGACCCCATTCAAAGGGACAAGAAAATCAGGCTCTAGCATTTCTCATGAGTGACCTGGGCAAGTCCTTTGCTGTCGCTGAGCCTCAGTTTTCTTAAAGCAGGGGTTAGACATCAGCCTCTCAGCTTGCTCTGGGAAGGAAAAGAGAGGGTAGGATGAGCCCTTATTAGATGTGAGTTGTCTTTGTGACTTTTTGTTTTTAGACAGTCTCATTCTGCTACCCAGGGTGGAGTGCAGTGGTGCAATCTCAGCTCACTGAAATCTCCGCCTCCCAGGTTCAAGCAATTCTCCTGCCTCCACCTCCCAAGTAGCTGGGATTACAGGTGTGCGCCACCAACCCCTGCTAATTTTTCTATTTTTAGTAGAGACGGGGTTTCACCATGTTGTTCAGGCTGGCCTCGAACTTATGACCAGAAGTGATTGAATCACCTCAGCCTCCCAAAATGCTGGGATTACAGGCGTGAGCTACCATGTCCAGTGAGAGGTGGGTTGTCTATCATCTTGAGCTAGGCTCTGGGTTAGAAGAGAAGAGGGCTGTGGCCCCAGCCTTTCCCAGTCTCCTTCCCAGAGAGTTCATAAATGCTTCCCTCCAGATGCCTTGACGCTTGCATTGCTCTCTGTGGTGATTCAAAGAATACATAAGCCCAGCTCCCCAACCATCTACAGTTTCTGCGAGATCTCAGCCTGGGATGCTGTCTGGGTGTCCCAGATGCTCTAATAAGGGAAGGAGGTGGAGGGAAGTCAAGGCCCAGAAAGAGGCAGTGATTTTCCTGGAGTCCATCATGCCCTGCCCCATTCCTGAGCGCCTTTTGGTCCCCCAGCTGGAGGTGAAAGCCCCTTCCTCCCTCCTATCTGGGGATGTGGTTTGCCTGGGCCTGGGTGCTGGCCCCCTGGTATGGCACAGCCCTGCACAGTCCACCCAGCCCCAGGTGCACCGACAGAACCCAGGAAGGGGACTTCTGGTGGAAGATGGAGCAGCAAGCACATGCACCGCCCCTCCCAGGTGCCCATTCCACTCACAGTAAAGGAAGCAGGTGCTTCCTTCAAACTCTCAGCAGGGAAGAACAAGGAGAGGACTCATCTGCAGTCAGGAAATACCCACGCATTTGTGCAAGAAGAGAGGAGGGAGTGAAGTCTTTATTCAGACGTCACCTTCTTCCTCCACAGGGCCTACCTGGGTTGGGCCCTTTATTCAAAGTGCAGCACCCCACTGCGTGGTTTTGTTTTTTTCCATCACACTTATTACACCCTCTAATACGTCTGTTATTTACCCATCATATTTACTTCTATCCCCACTAGAGCAGGGATTTAGTCTCTGCTGGGTCTCAGAGCCTAATATAGTGCCTGGTATGGAACAGGTACTAAAAAATATAGAATGAATGAATGAATCCATCAATCAATTAATGGTAGAGTAGGACTGGCAAAGCAGTGTGTGGAGAGGAGGAAACCCTCTGCCCCAGACCTAGAAAGGGCACAGAATGAGGTGCAGAAGTGAAACAGGCCTCCCAGGAAGTCTGTAATCAGGGCCAGAGCTCTTCCTCCGTTGCTGAAACCATGGGACGACCATGGGTCTCCTCCGTCTTTAAGGGTGACAAACGTGAAGGTTTTTCTTTCGAAAATTGATGGCCCCAGGCCAGGCGCGGTAATCCTGTAATGCCAGCACTTTAGGAGGCTAAGGCAGGTTGAGACCTGCCTGGCCAACATGGCAAAACCCCATCTCTATGAAATATACAAAAATTAGCTGGGCATGGTGGCGTGCGCCTGTAATCCCAGCTACTTGGGAGGCTGAGGCACGGGAATCGCCTGAGCACAGGAGCTGGAGGTTGCAGTGAGCCGAGATGGCGTTACTGCACTCCAGCCTGGGTGACAGAGAGAGTCTGTCTCAAAAACAAACAAACAAACAAACAAACAAACAAAAAAACAACAACTGATGACCGCTGATAAGAAACCCCTTCATCCTACTCTTTAGTCTCCCAGCACAATGCCTGCTCCCCTGCCACCCCAAAACAAATCCCATCCCTGGAAGGCAGTGTGACGGGGAGGTCCCTGAGGCTGGCAGCCTGGAATGCCAGCAGATCCGCTTTCCAGCCTCCGGCCCTGTGGACATGACTTTACCTCCTGTGCCTCAGTTTCCTCATCTATGAAATGGGTATACTGATCAGACGTCTTAGTGCTGTTGCGGGGCCAGGAGTTAGTGTGTGTAACGTGCCCAGAACAGTGTCTGGCATCTGGAAGGCTGAGGAAATCTTGTTGCTAGGACATCATCTATTTTATGGAGAAGTCATGCCTCACCCCAGTCAGCTCTTACTGGTCTCACCCTGGAGACAGAAATGGGCCAAGAGCACAGACACGGGAAACCAAGACGAAGCAACAGAAAACAGAGACAGTTGGGCGGCTGCTGCCACCTGCTGGGGAGCACTGCAATCTGCAGGTGTCGGCTGAAGGCGGAGCCCTCGAGCTCTGCTGTCAAGGAGGAAATGACACACAAGTGCATGGACCCTGGACAATCGTCACAGCAGCCCTCTGTGGTAGGGAATAGGGGCGATGAGGATGGTGTGAACTGGCAGGGGTTTAATTCAACAAGGCTGACTTCTACCCTTGGGGTGGATGGACCTGCGTTGGGCACTGGGAGGTGAGGGAGGGAGATTCCATGCATGCGTGTGCACACACACACACATCCACACAGCCAAACACATACATACACAGCACATATGTGCAGATTCACATTTGCAACTTCAAAACGTTCACGGACAATGGAATATGTTTAAGTTCCATCAAGGTCAAGACACTTTGGTGAGCGAGGAGACCAGCCACTCAGCTCCTCCCTAAAGAACTGAGGGTCCTGGGAATTTTACCCCGGCGATGCCATCTTTTTTACATTATTAACTGAGGAAAGGTGCCCTTCAAAGGTTTTTTTTTTTTTTTTTTTTTTAAGATTAGGAAACAAAAAGAAGTCAGAAGGAGCCGTATCAGGACTGTAAGGTGGGTGCCTGATTTCCCAAGGAAACGTTTGCAAAACTGCCCTTGTTTGATGAGGAGGGAGCAGGGGCATTGCTGTGGTAGAGAAGGACTCTCTGGTAAAGCTTTACCGGGTGGCTTTCCGCTAAAGCCTTGGCTGCTTCCTCAAAACACTCCCATAACAGGCATGCCGATGCGGACGTGGAGGGAGTCCCTGAGCCGCAGTGAGCGGCGCTGAGGGCGTGTTTTATGTCGCATGGCATCACAGGCCCGGGCTTCCCAGGGCGTGCACTGACAGATATGGACGGAAATGGGGAGAGGGAAACCGGGAGGGGCCCTGAAGGAGAGGGGCCCAGAGGCTTCAGCAGGATTTGAAATGTTGGATTTGGCAGAGAATGCATTCATATACTTGCTTATCTAAGAAAAAGAAAATAGAATTAAGAGTGAGGAACGCGGGACTGGGGGGTACAGGGAAGGACACAAAGCCAAGGTGTCCAGGCCTCGCGCAGGTGCCCATCTGGGCTGTGCATCCCCTGCTCTCTCTGCAGGAGACCTGCAGCAACCATCTAGCACTGCTCTGGCAGCTCCAAAAGGGCCAGAGACCCATTTTTGCCTCTTTGTAGGTTTTACTTGGTAGATAGTGCTTAACATTTCTGCCAGATTTCCATTCCTTCACAGCCTGGGCATACAGGTTTTAGTTTTCCACAGTTGCTATCACTCCCTAGTGTTTAACCCAAGGCCCCTTTCCTCTCATTTGTTACCTGCCTGGCCCCTGAAGGCATCTCAACTCACAACTACTGGTCAATGCTGTGGCTTCTGGAGACTTCTGTGCAGAGCTTGGAAGGGCAGAGAGCTGCCTTGGAAGGATGGATGGATGGATGGATGGATGGATGGACAGATGGGTCGGTGGATGCACAGATCAATGGACGGATGAGTAGGTGGATGAATGGATGAATGGGGGGTGGGTGGGTAGATGAGCAGATGGATGGATAGATGAGTGGGTGGATGGATGGATGGACAGATGAATGGATGGATGGGTAAGTGGACAGATGGACGAATGGGCAGATGGATGGATGGATAGATGAATGGACAGATGAATGAATGGATAGGTAGATGGATGGATGGACAAATGGACAGATGAATGGATGGATGGGTAAGTGGACAGATGGACGAATGGGCAGATGGATGGATGGATAGATGAATGGACAGATGAATGAATGGATAGGTAGATGGATGGATGGACAAATGGACAGATGAATGGATGGATGGACAGACAGATGGATAGATGGGTGGGCAGATGAGAGGCTTCATGACGGGAAGAGGGAACAAGACCATCCCTGGGCAATGGCTGTAGGAATGTGGGCTGGTGTTCACAGAAGCCCCATCTCACCACCTGAGAGCTGTCCCCATCAACCCTACGTCCTATTTCCCAACACAGGCCCACACTCTCCCTCATCTGGGAGGCACAGGCAGAGAAGGAAACCTGGTTGAACCAGACCGTGCACTTGCACCCAGTGCTCTTCAGCTCTTCCCCCCGTTCTCACACGGGAAAACTAAGGCTCTGAAAAGTGGATGTGGTGGTATTTTAAGAATCATTTGCTGGATTCCCAAACCTTTCTTCCACCACATCACACATTCCCAAATAATTAGCATTTGCTCAGTATTTTATTTATGAAGCAGACCACATCCACTATTCTACATGACTGCCTCAAAAAATTCCAGGGAACATTACTGTTTCTTAAAGTTTAAATGAAACTTTAAAGAGAAAAAAAAAAAATGGACGCTAAGGCCTGAGCAGCTTCGGCAGTAGGGGGGGCTCACCCTCAGGACTCCGACCCCCAAGACCCTGTCTTCGTCCTTCCTCGCCCACAAGTGCGGCCCAGAGTGGCCCTTCCTGGGTTGGAAGGTGGGTCAGGTCAGGGGTCCTAAGGGCACATGTTCCCCAGGGAGGACACTTTTCTAGGTGAGAGAAGCTGCAGGTGGATGTGACACACAGATGGCTGGGGCGGGGCACATCCCACCTACAGGGAGCGGCCTCTGCTCAGCACTTCTGTCGCAGGCAGAAAGCTAAGCCCGTTGTTATTGGAACTTTCCATTTTAAAAGAAGACAGACATCTGAATTTTTTTTTTTTTAATGTGAAAACTCTACGTTTAAAAAATGTTGACAACTAACTTAAAAAAACGTAATCATGCGCATTCAAGAGAATTTCAAGGGGTCAGGTCCATCCTGCAGGCCCTGCCGAAAGTACTGGCTGTGTGAGCCGACGTGACGGCGGGCCTGGCGCTAGGTCGGGAGCAGCTCTGTGGGGGGCAGGCCTGGGGCCAGCCGAGAAGGTGGTGAGATAGCTGCCCGTGCCATCTCCATCCCGTCTCTCACCTGCTGGCTGAGGCTGGGCGGGGCTGCCGAGCTTAGCATCACGGCCTTCCCTCTTCCCCTGGTTTCAACGGGAACAGCCACTCCAGGTTGTTCTGCAGCGAAAGCAGGGAGTCCCCTAGGGGAATCAATGGTTCTTTAGGAAACACACAAAACAGAATGGATTTTTACTTCCCTTTAATCAAAAAATAAATAAATCCACTCCACAGGGACTTTTTTTTTTTTTTTTAATGAGGAAAAAAGGTGAAAGAACAAAATAAAACAAACAAAACCAAAACCTACAGGGACTCATTTCTGGCCCACAGGGAATCAGCAGCCAGGCGGAGGGACACGAGAGCCAGCCCAGCCGGGCCTGCCAGGTGACTCACAGGCCAGAGAGGAAGCTCCAGGCTCCGCTCTGGGGGGCTGTCCCACCCAGGGGTTGGGATGTCCTGCCTGGGGAGGGGCCGCAGTCCCCCGGGGGCCCCATGGCAGCAGGGCACACTGCCACTATTCTGCAAGGTGTATCCCACAAGGCCCTTGCTCTCAGTGGCACTAGGGCACTCAAGGAGCCAGGAGACCCTGCCTTGATGGCTGGAGTCTGGAATGTGAGGTGTGCACAGGCGGGGCCAACTCCAGAGACCCCGAGACAAGATTACCAATTCCCGGTGTGATGAGGCCAGTCCCCAGGGGACAGGCCCAGAAGAGCCTGGGGCACTGGCAGGTGGAGAAGCCCCTCTTTCCAGAGTTCCAGGAGAGTGGGAAACGTGTCGGGCTGGGGCTCTGGCCAGAGCACCCGTCCCCTGCTGCAGGAGGCTTGGCAGACCCAAGGCTGGGGCACGGTAGGGTCTGCCGAGCACCAGGCGGGGTGGCGTGGCAGGCAGTGGCTGGGAGGAGGGACGCCCACAGGGGTCCTAGAGGTGGATCCACTTGTTCCAGTTGACCTCGTGGGGAAACACACGGCCCAGCCGGAGGGTACAGTCCAAGGTGGGCTCGTAGAAGGCCATGGGGCTCTCGCCCAGGCTGGAGGGTGCCTCCACTTCTTCCACCACAGGTGTAGAGAAGAGTGAGACGGCCCTTGGCTTTCTCAGCCAGCACTTCCGGATGCAGCCGAGGGACTCCAGGCCCTGCAGACACCAGACACACAGGTTATAAGGGCACGACACTGCCTGCTTACTGATTTATTCTTCAAGCGTTTATGGAGTGAACTCTCTGTACTAGGAAGCCACTTCCCAGAGCTGGGGGCACCTGAACCGGGCATGAGGCAAGTGGGGATGTACCAGGAGGGTTCAGGCAAAGGCCCTGGCAGCAGAGGCAGTGGCCTGAGCGTGGGGCCACCATGCTGAATGTCATGCAGGCCTGCAGTGGGGCTGCATCCCAGCTTCCTGTGAGCCAAGACTGGCTTCCAGGTGAGGTTTTGTTTGGCCCATGGGGAATCTGACACTGAACTTCAAGCTCCTAGTTGCCAGGGGAGCTGGAGGCCCCAGCCATGCTGGGCCCTGGGAGCACAGAGCAGCTGTCAGCCAAGCAGGAGACAGCCGCACCAGGGCGCAGCTCCTTGACCAGGGGCGCTGTGAGCTTGAGTTAGTAGCCCTTGGCACAGAGAAAGCATCAGAGACAAGCACCCCAGGCATCCCATCTTCCAGCCTTCCCAGCAGCATGGAGCAGCTAAAGGACACTGAGGGACGGCCTGAGAAGCAGGAGCTCAGGACAGGCTGGGGGAGGAGGTACAGGTAGGCAGCATGGTGGTCCTGCATGCTGCACATCACAGCCGGGCCTTCGAGTCCACCCAGCCCCTGCCGAGCCCGGGAAGGCCTCATACCTGGAGCAGCTCCAGCACGGCGACGGGCTGCAGAACCCCCTGGTAGTGGCGCAGCAGGCAGCTCTCGGGGATGCCAGGCCTGGTCATGATGTGGTACAGCATGGCCTCCATCATGCCCTTGCACACAGGCAGGTTCAGGTGGCCGTCCACCACACGCCATGGCCGGCCGATGAAGGAGACGCTCTCACAGTCCCTGCAGGGCGAGGGCTTGGCATCAGGGCTTGGCAGGGACAGGAGGGCAGCTCGTTCAGACAGAACACTGAGCCTTGGGGGTATCCTAGGCCTGGCCCAGGTCACAAGGCTAAGATTGGCCACCTCCTGCTCTCTGCTCTCCAAACGCCCCACTTCTTTCCTGTCTGGACAGAGGAGCCCATGACCACCAGCTGGATGGAACCACGACGTGGGGTTCTGCTCTGACGCAGCTGCAGCCAAGGCCTCGTGGAGCCCACACCCGAGGTCCCCCCACATTGGCAAGAGAGGGACAAGGGCTGGGACTCCTGGATTTGCCAGCTCTCCTGGCAGCCCGGGCAGCAGCCACCTCCAGGCTCTGGCGTAGCCCACAGGGGTGTAACTCTGAAGCTCTGCTCCGTGCCACGTGCAGGGTTCCGGGCATGCTTTCCTCAGAACAGATATTTCTGCTACTAAATCAGGGACTGAACAGTCACTCGGGGCCCAGGAGTGGGGTGGACCCAGAAGAGCTGGACACTTGGCTCTCATCACCACGGCTGGGCCCTGGCAGGGGCAACAACTGAGCTCCTGAAAGCCAGGATAGGACACAGGGCACTTGGGCCCTGCCAATCCAGGGTCAGCGCACACACTCATGGCAGGCACCCCTACCAGAGTGGCTTTTGTGGCCCCCTTGCCTCCTCTAATTCTGGGGCACAGCTGTTCCTGGGGGCAGCTAGGCATTCAGGGCTTGTCCCTCTGTGGACCTTTGGCTCATCTGCAGGAGCAGGTGAGGGGCCTGTGGGCCGTAAGGAACTCGGCGGTGAGGCGCGGCTGATGGTGCCAGGTGTGGTTCTCCACCAGCACCCTCGGCATCCTGAAAGCTTGTTCCAAGCTGACCTGGGTGCTGCCAGCGCCCAGCACACCTGCTGCTCGCCCACTGCACCCCTCCAAGTGTCCCTGCCGAGAAGCACGGTGCTGGGCAGGCTGTCAGAGCCGGGACCTGGGGAGAGACCCTCAAAGACCCTCACGCAAATCCTTACACTCTGGCCCGGTCAAGAGCCCCACCGCAGGCCCTGGAGCCAGAAGCCCACACTCACCTTTCCCGCGCTGCCTGGGAGATGCTGCTGGCTCCAAAACTCTCTGTGAACCCTGAGGGAAGAGGAAGAGGATGTGAGAGGCTTGGAAAGGCAGGGAAGCCATCTCTGCCTCCCCACCTTCAGCATGGTACCCAGCACCCAGCATGAGCTGGGCACCTCGAGGTTTGGGGATGAAGTGTCAAAAAAAAAGGACAATGATCATCTCCTCACAGAGTGGCCACCCTGGAGGTGGTGGGGCCGGGGAGACTGCCGCAGACAGCGCCCCAGGCCCGGACAAGCTCCACACCGGAGGAAGCCAGCGAACACCTCATTTCCCACCCAGAAGCCCTGACCACAAGGGTAGTATAAAACCCAAGGCAGAAACACCCCAAAGAAAACAAAAACGCCCAGGGAAGCCACATGAGAAGGCCACTGCTGATGACAGATGGCTCCCGAGGAAGGCGAGACCCCCACGCCGTCGCACAAGCCGGACCCACCGCCTGAGCTCCTGCTCCGGAACTCACAGTGCTGCCTGGGGAGTGGGAGGCCTCTGTCCTCCCCTGGAAATGCATTTACAGGCAGCATCCTCCCCACAAGGCTCAGGCTCTGAGAAGCTGAAATCAAGCCCCTTTTTCGCCAGTGGCAGGTCCCCTATCCGGGAGGAAGGTGTGCGGCCCATCAGGGAAGCGGGGAGGGAACGTGCGGGTGGGGTGGGGGACAGGGCGTGCGGTACCTCTGGGGTCTTCAGTGCCCTCTGGAGGCTGGGCCTGGCCACTCAGCTGCTCTTGGCCTGGGGAACTGAACTCCCCGACACCCTCTTGGTCTTCCTGCACAGCTTCTGCCGCAGCTGTGTCTTCAAGAGCTGGGGGTGGAGATGGGGCCTGGGCCTCTGCCCAGTCTTCTGTTCCAGGCCCGAGGCTGGGGGCCAAGTTTGAGTCCTGCAGCGCCGGCCTCTTGGCAGGGGTCTCCCCGATCTCACTGGCCCAGACAGCATACCTCTTGGTGCCCCGGGGGCTGTGAGAAGGGGGTGCCTGCCCCTCCGGAGGCCCATCCTGGCTGGAAGACCCCTCCAGGGGTCTGGCCTGAGGGTCTTCTCTCTGGGCATGGGCATCCTCCTCTCTGTCTTTCAGCCTCACAGAATGCAGGAGCCAGGGCCAGGCAGAGCCTATGGCCACCAGGCGCACAGTGTTGCCGCCGACCTCCAGCACCTGCTGCTGTTCCAGGAGGGCCTGGGGGGGCAGGAGACAGGCGGAGTCTGTGGGGAGCCAGGGATCCTCCGCACTGGTGATGGGGGATGAGCAGAGTGGCTTCCCCTGTCCGCTGGGTTAAGTCCCTGAGCAGCAAGTCCACGAGGTGGGCCTGGCTCCCAGCCCCGGGACTGCCCCTTTTAGCCCCGTGCCGTGGAGGAGCCTCTCTTCCTCTCTAGGCTCAGCCTGGCCGCTCGCGAACCACGTCAGCTGTGTGACCCTCAGGGATCCACAGCTGCACCCTCAAAGCAGACGTGAAATGCCCCAGTTTTCAAACCTTAACGACTAATTCAATGCTTAAAAAGAATGCACCATGCTATGCCCCACATCAAGCCCATCCTCGGTGTGCAGCTGGCCTGGGAGCTGCAACTCCGGCTTCAGTGACATCCAGCTAAGCTACAGACAGCTCACCTGGACGCAGTCTGCGAATGTCCTGGTACGCCCACCACCTGGCTGCTCCAAAGCCGAGAACCGTCTGCGCAGCTCCTCCTTGTCGATCCCAAAACAACCCATGGCTACAATGGCTTCCAGGATCTCCAAGGCAGCAGTCAGGTCTTCAGGACTATACCCAGAGAGCTCCAGCCGGAAGACAAACTCTTCCAAGCTGCAGGTGTTTTCCTGGGGGCTTATCAGCTTGGTGAATGTGTCAGGGAGGCAGGAGGTTCCCACCGTTAGCTCTTCCAGAGGAGCGGCTGGGAAGACACGGAGGAAGATCAGAGGCAACCCGACAGAGGCCCTCGTCCCCCCGCCAATGCACAGGCCACACGTAGGAAAGGCACGCTCCAGCGCACAGGGGTCACTGCTGGGTGGACGAGTTGGGCGCCGGGGAGTCAGGCTCCTCATCCGTGACCCCAGGCCCCTGCCTATAGCTGACTGGATTTCTCCTGGCCACTATGATATTCCTGCTCAAGATATAAAGTGAAGGGCACAGAGGCTGAGGACTGGGGTTCGGGAACTGTAAAGCCCAGTGCTCTGGTGGGGAGTCCTTGACTGGGGACTCCTACATTTCCTACGGCTGGCTTCTGTTGCTTCCTATGGAAGACGTTTCTGCTAAGGCCATAATCGATATGTTACCACTGCATTTTTACCCAGTCCAAACTCCAGACAAAGTACAGAATTCTAATTGTGGTTACAAAACATATAATGAACACCATCAGCTTCACAAGCAACTCACTTTATTGTGCTTCACGGATATTGTGGTTTTGGATTTGTTTTTACATACTGAAGATTTGTGGCAGGTCTGCATCAAAAGTGTCTACTGGTGCCACGCTCCCAACACCGGGTGCTCCATTTGTGTCTGTCATGCTTTGGTAATTTTCATCTCTCCACTTTTTTATGATTATCATAACTGCAACGGTGACCTGTGATCAGCGATCTTTGACATTACCACCGTAATTGCTTTGGGGCACCATGAACCACGCCCACATAAGACAGCAAACTTAACTGATACATGTCATGTGTGTTCTGACAGCTCCAGTGACCAGCCATTTCCTACTTTCCTCCCTCCCTGGGGCTCCCTATTCCTGAGACACAACAATATGGAAATCAGGCCAATTAATAACCTTACCATGGCCCCTCTGTGTTCAAGTGAAAGGCAGAGTTGGACATCTCTCACTTTACATCAAAAGCTGGAAATGACCAGGGTTTGTGAGGAAAGCATGGTGACAGCCAAGACAGCTGAAAGCCAACGTTAGTCAAAGCTGTGAGGGCAAAGGAAAAGCTCTTGAAGGAAATTCAAAGTGCTACTCACGAACAATAACAAAGCAAAACAGCCTTGCTGCTGACATGGAGAATGTTTCAGCAGTCTGGATAGATCGAATCAGCCTCAACATTCCCTTATGCCAAAGCCTAATCCAGAGTAAGCCCCTAACTCTCTTCAGTTTTATGAAGGCTGAGAGAGGTGAGGAAGCTGCAGAAGAAAAGGTGAAAGCTAGCACAGGTTGGTTCATGAAGTTTAAGAAGCCGTCTCCATAACAAAAAAATATAAGGTGAAGCAGCAAGTGTGGAAGGAGAGAAGCTGCAGCAAAGTGTCCAGAAGATCTAGCCAGGATCAGTGATGAACGTGTATACACTAAACTGATTTTCACCGTCCACAAAACAGCTTTATATTGGAAGATGCCATCTAGGACTTTCATGGGTACAAAGGAAAAGTCAGTGCCTGGTTTCAAGGCTTCAAATTACAGGCCACTCTCTTGTTAAGAAGTAATGCAGCCGGTGACTTTGAGTTGAAGCCAATGCTTATTTCCCATCCCCAAATTCTTAAGGCCCTTAAGAATTATGCTAAATCTATTCTCCCTGTGCTCTATAAATAGGACAGCAAAGCTGGATGACAGCACATCTGTTTACAATGTGGCTTACTGAATATTTTAAGCCCACTCTAGAGACCTACTGCTCAGACAAAAAACATCCCTTGGCCAGGTGTGGCGGCTGATGCCTGTAATCCCAGCACTTTGGGAGGCCAAGGCGGGTGGATCATCTGAGGTTAGGAGTTTGAGACAAGCCTGGCCAACACAGTGAAACCCCGTCTCAACTAAAAATACACAAGTTAGCCAGGTGTAGTGGCACACACCTGTAGTCCCAGCTACTCGGGAGGCTGAGACAGGAGAATTGCTTGAACCCGGGAGAAGGAGGATGCAGTGAGCCAAGATTGTACCACTACACTCTAGCCTGGGCAGCAAAGAGTAAAACTCCATCTCAAAAAAAAAAAAAAAAAAGATTCCTTCCAAAACAGTGCGATGAGTAATGATGCCCCCTGGTCACCCATGAGCTCTGATGGAGATGTTCAAGGAGATGAACACTGTTTTCATGCCTGCTAACACAACATCCATTCTGTACCTCATGGATCAAGGAGTCATTCCACTTTCAAGTCTTATTTAAGAAATACATTTTGTGGCCAGGCACAGTGGGTCATGCCTGTAATCCCAGCACTTTGGGAGGCTGAGGTGGGTGGATCACCTGAGGTCAGGAGTTCCAGACCAGAGGGCCAACATGGTAAAACATCGTCTCTACTAAAAATACAAAAATTAGCCAGGTGTGGTGGCAGGCGCCTGTAATCCCAGCTACTCGGGAGGCTGAAACAGGAGAAGCAGAAGAATCACTTGAACCTGGGAGGTGGAGGTTGCAGTGAACCGAGATCACACCATTGCACACTGTCTCAAAAAAGAAAAAAAAAGAGAGAGAGAAGGAAATACTTTTCATAAGGTTATAGCTACTATATGATTTCTCTGATGGATCTGGACAAAGTAAATTGAAAATCTTCCGGAAAAGAGTCACCATTCTATTTTGAGGTGGTCCAAATACCCACATCAACAGGAGTTTGGAAGAAGTTGATTCTCACCCTCATGGATTACTTTGAGGGGTTCAAGTCTTTAGTGGAGAAAGTAACTGCAGGTGCAGTGAAAATAACAAGAGAACTAGAACTAGAGGCAGAGCCTGAAGAAGGGATGGAATTGCTGCAATCTCAGAATCAAACTTCAACAGATGAGTTGCTTCTTATAGATGAGCAAAAGTGGTTTCTTGAGTTTCTTGATATGGAAACTACTCCTGGTAAAGATGCTGAGAACACTGTTGAAATGGCAACAAAGGATTTAGAATATTATATACACTAGGTAGGGCATGCATTATGCCTGTTGTCCCAGAACTTTGGGAGGCCATGGCAGGAGGATCCCTTGAGGCCTGAGACCAGCCTGGACAACTGAATGAGGCCCTGTCTCTACAAAATATTTAAAAATTAGCTGGTTATGGAGGCACATACCAAGGTACTACCTAGGAGACTGAGGCAGGAAGATGACCTGAGCCCAGGAGCTTGAGGTGACAGTGAGCTATCATCATGCCACTGCGTTCCAGCCTGAGCAACAGAGCAGGAGCCTGTTTCTAAAAAATAGGCTTGGTGTGGTGGCTCATGCCTGTAATCCCAGCACTTTGGGAGGTGGAGGGGGGAAGATCACTTAAGGCCAGGAGTTTGAGGCCAGGTTGGGCAACCTAGCAAGCTCCCATCTCAATCATTTTAAATAAATTAAAAAATAGAGTTTCAAAGATCATCAATAGAACTAAGTGTCAAAACTGGAAGTAAAGGAGGTAAGAGATCATGAATGTGAGTGGAATACTCCTTAGGACCCAAAAGCTTCCTCAGAGTGCATGCTGTAGAGTTACAGAGCTAAGCACCAGGAGACTAGAGCCCGGGCAGTGACAGGGCCGTGCGTGGAGAGTGGGCAGGGCGGGGAGGTGGGAGGGCTCTGCTCTTCCTTGTGAGCCTGCCTGCCTGTCTGCCGGCGCCTGCGGCACAGCTGTGACTAAAAGACAGGCAGTGTTGGTGAGCTCCCGCACAGAGGTGTGGGCGTAGCACAGGCACACCTGAGGTGTGTTTTTCTGCGTGTCCTGGGGCTACACGCCTGGCCTGGGG